CTGCTGAGGGGAGCAGCGGGCGGGTCAGGAGAGGTCTGCCGCGCCATAGGGTCACCTCCGGGGCAGGCGGGAATCGAACTCATGCGGAAGCGGCTTAGATTCTCAGTGCTGTGCTTTAACCTGCTACACCACCAGGGAGGGCCCATTCTACTCTTTGTTTAAAAAAAGATGATCACTGGGCCCTCCCTGGTGGCGCAGGGGTCCAGTCTCAGCACTATGAAGCTGTCCGCAGCCGCTTCGGACAGTTCAATCCCTGGCCAGGGAGTGACCCACAGGGCGCAGCAGACCTCTCCTGTCTCCACGCTGCTCCCCTCAGCAGTGTTTATTGGATCTGCCTGTTCTGCTCCCCACTCTGGCTCTCGGGAGTCCTCTCATGGCCCCTCTCACCTCTGGCCTGTATCCCAGTTCTTGTGAGCATAGATAAATAAATCTTATATATATATAAAAAACAATGGTCAGGTCATGGCTTATTGTTATGGGCTGAATTTTGTCTCTCCAAAGTTCATGTATTCATGGGTTGAATTCACATATCCCTCAAAAATTCCTTCTCAGCAGAATTGCCCCCAGTCCTGAGAATGTGATCTTATTTGGAGAAAGGCTCTTTACAGAGGACGTCAACTTAAATGAGGTCATTCACGGTAGGCCACAAGCCAGTTATTTCTAGTGTGCTCAGAAATGCAGAGACAGACCGGCCTTCAGGAAGAACAGCGCAGGGGCCTGAAGGCAGCGCGAGAAGCCCAGGGGATGGACACGAGCAGGTTCCTCAGCAGGGGTCACTCTGCCGGCTCTTGGTGGACCTGCGAGCCCTGGCGCTGCGCCAAGGCCACTCGTTGGTGGTGCGAATCCAGTTCGGGCAGCCCCCGCACAGGTGCACGCACCGGGTTCTGGAATTCCCTATTGGGTTACAACCTGCACTTCACAATCCACAAAGTTCTCTTTATCCTATGTCTCTCGGGTGATCTTTACAGCCAGTCGTGGGGTGCTGGGAGATTTGGAGGCCAGCAAGGGGGCCTCTCAGGATTCCACAAGTGGGGGTGTTAGAACTGAAAGTTTAGCCCCCCTGCAATTGCATGAGCTGAAGATAATTTTTCCCTCACCTGTGTGTCCCCCACTGCTCACCCGTTACGGTATGACTTATGCCCATGTGGGGGGTTGACACACGTGCGCAAAGCTCTGAAGTGGAGTCAGAACGAAGGCAGATCTGCCTCTAAATCCTGGTGTTTTTAAAACGACATCCCAGCGTCCCCACTGGCACAGCGGAACTCCTCCACCGGCCCCACCTTCGGGTGACCACGTTGCCCCGTACAGGCTGAAGGCCCCCAGCCCAGCCTGGTTTGTTCGTCACCCTGCAAGGCGCCTGCCTCTGCCTAGAGCCAGGTGCTGTCCAGGCCTGCACGAGTATGATTCCATTCTGCTCTCGCAAGCGCGAGACTATTATCGGCTCCGTTTGTTTCCCAGATGACAAAAGTAGAAGACACGGAATAAATGGCCCGCGACTGTGCAGTTAGCAGCGCCGGCAGGATCTGAGCCCAAGCAGCGCGCAGCGCCCCACAGCCCCCCTCACCCGCTCCCCTCAGCGCCTGGCCGCCCCACGGATGGGCGGGAGGCGCGGGCGGGGAATCCGTCTGGGCGCCAGGGGGCAGCAGAGGCCCAGCTTTGGCGCCTCCGCCCAGCCCCGCGCCGAGAGGTGGGCAGCGCGACACCCGCCCACACAGCGGCCCCTGTCCCCTAAGTCCTCCGCGTGGGGCGAGGAGAAGCCCCCCGGCCGCTCGCTGTCCCCAGCACCGTGTCCTAGAAGGCCGCGCTGGGGGAGCGGGTGACTCCGAAGCTGAGCAAGCCTGCGCGTGAGTTCTCGGGGCTGCATGTGAGTGCTGACACGTCTGTGAGCTGCCTGCACATGTGGGGGGCGGGAGGCCTCGTGTCCCGGAAAGTTGTGCATATGTGTTTGTTTTGGGGTGTGTCACCGTGTTTACCCCAGAAATAGAAGGGAGCCCTGCCAGGGCCCGCTAGCAGATTTATCTTCCAACTTGCTCCTCGGAGCCGGGGCGGGGAGGGGGGGCCCCCCGCAACTCCAGCGGGTGCGGCCCCCCAGGGAGCCCTTGGGGAGGAGCGCGCCGAGAGGGTTTTCAGGGCGCAGGACTTTCTGGACTCTTCCAGAACTCTGAGCTCCAGGGCGCCCGCCCCCAGCCCCGCCCAGCTGTGGTCACGAGGCGCTGAGGCGTCCCCCGCCAGGAAGGGAGGGGCCCCAGGAGTTCCAGAGGACAAGGGCTGCCCGCTGCTCCTCAGGGTCCTCCCTGGACGGAGAGCAGAGCGCAGGGGCTGTGCGTGCCGAGGCCCAGGGTGGCCAGTTTCACCCAGCCCTCACCAGGGCCCGGCGGGAGTCTGAGGGCGGGAGGGCGCCGCGCGAGCCCCTGCGCGCCCCACTTGCCCGGGGTGACTTCCCGGAGAAAAGCTGGCTGCTGGGAGCGCGGCCGGCCGGCGGGCTCAGCCTCCCGTCCAGCCTGACCCCGGGCCACCCCCAGGCCTGGCTCCCTACCGTGCCCCCGCGCCCTGGAGGCCTGCACACTCACCCCGCTTTCTTCCTCTTCCTCCTCCAGCCCACTTTCTCTCTCTGTGTCGTCAGAGGCCAGGGAGGGACCTGCGGAGAGGAGAAGCCGGAAACAGCGGGCCGGGCGGCCAAGCCTCTGCGAAGAGGAAGGGCGGGAGAGGCTGTGTGGTGTACGGCTTTCTCTCCTGGTGCTGTAGGAAGTGGGGTGCTAGCAGGGCTACCCAGAAGTCGTGGACAGAAGTACAGACCCATGGGGGCTGGCAGTGACCGCTGAGAGAGGGAGAAGACAGCAGAGGGGTTGCCAAGGTGAGGGGATGCCGGGGCGGGGAGGGGGCTGTGTGTGGGCTCCCAGGAGCCCCCACTTCAGGGGGGCTCCCCATGAGTGTGTTTCTGGCGGCGCGGTGGTGCCCGGTTTGGGAGTTGCGAACTCAGAGGAATCCGGGGTGGGTACCGGCCCTCCCGCCGCCCGCCGGGGCCTTTCCCACCCAGCCCCTGCCCCTGCCCCTGCGGGACAGACAGGACGGCGGAGGCCTGAGAGGGGCCGGGGAGGGGCCCCCCGCCCCCCACCCCGCCCCGCGGGCGGTGCGAAGCGGCCCCTCCCGTCTAGGTAGATGCCTGAGCGCCTCGGCCCCTGACCAGCCCCTACCCTGCCCCCTCAAAACAGTTCCTGATCGAGGATGTAGCTGGGGGCGCGGGACACCCAGACGCAGACCTCATGGTGCCCCGGAGGAGGGGGAATTTCCCCCTCAAAACTGCCCCACGCTTGGCTGCTGCGGACGCCGAGATTTCCCGGCGGGCGCAGTCACCCCTCCGCGTGCCGCAGGCCCCGCCCCCCGCGGCCCCCCGCGGCCCCCGCTGGCGTGCAGGGGGCGGTGTCTGCTTTTCTCAATCACATCTTTTGTTTTAACGCGCTTAACGCACAGCGCTGCCTCACGTCTTAGAGCTGCATGTGGAACTGAAGCATTCTTGAGTCGGGAGCGACAAGCCCGAGAAACCTCTACGATTTGGCTTCCATATCTCTGAATTGGTATTTCAATGACAGATGTTTGTTGCGGCAAAAACCTCTGTCAGAACAAAATTAGGTGATCTATCATTTTAAGATATGGTCTTCATATACTGTTTACTCGGAGATATCACTTGCCTCAAGCCAATTTTGACCAAGAACATTTTGTGATATGGAAGTGATTTGTATATCATCATTTTTGTGATAAATGTAGCTCTTGAACACAAAATAACCCGCGTTCCACAGTATTACGGCTAAAACTCCCGCCCCAGTAAATCTGCACTAGAGCTTTTATTACTGCGCGCCCGGCCGCCCCCCCGCAGCCGCGC